CAATTCTGTTTTCTGTCGATTTTTCACAGAAAAGGTTAAAATGCTGAGCACCCAGGTGCTGTGTCACTCTGTGGAATGTCACACACACAAACTTCCCATTCTTGCTTTTACTATTCATTGTGGGTGGCACCTTCCCTCCATTGCTCCTTTACAGGATATTTGGCATGCAGTCATCCTCAGCTGGCAGAGTCTGGATCCAGGGGAATGAGGACACGGGCCCCACTCCTATGTGTATGTATATGGGCTTATGCTCAGTACAATATTGTTACAAAACTGAGGCTTTCTGGGAGTAAGAATGGTTATATTAGGCTGGTTACTTTTTTTTTTTCCAGTGCCCAAATCTTCCCGCGTGCAGTGGTATAACTCAATTGTCTGAGTCCTATCTTCCTCAATCAATTCCACAAAAAATATTTTATAGCAAGCTAGACAATATCTGTGGTCATATTCACCAATGTATTTTATTTAGAGACGCTTGTTATATTTCTTGTGTCACAGATATAATTTCTATGTATCTGAAAAACTTTTTAAATTACTGTGTGATAAAGTTTAATATTGTACCGTACATTGTCAATTTAAAACCCAACTCCAGACAGATTGGGTATTTTTTAAGCTTTGGTTAAAATAGGGAAAGGTAATAAAATCATGTCAGGATTTTATATGCCGCTTTTAGGGAAATGTAACCTCACTTCTTATCCTTGTGACAACAGGAAGTGAGATCTCCACATCAGGGAACACAGATGTCAAGAAAACCAGATAGACATTCTGAGTCTTTGCCACTCTGCTTAAAAAAAAAAAGTTTTGTTACTGTCTGTGCCTTCATTGGTGACCACACGGGAAGTGATGAAAAATCTCAGTGGCTATAGAAACAAATCTAAATTTCTAATTCTTTTCCACTGTGTCCAAAAACTACATAAAAAATGTTTTGTCTGTTGTACCTGTGAAGTAAGGGTACAAAGCATTCAGCTTTATCTTTTTAGTTAAAACTCCACTTTACTGAAGTATGTTACCTATTCACTCAAGAAGATCTGTTACAAATTTTGTGTTGCAGCTGCTCATCCATGTAGTCGTGATAATGGAGGTTGTTCACATATCTGTATTGCAAAAGGCGATGGTACTCCTCGATGTTCCTGTCCTGTCCATCTTGTCCTCCTGCAGAACCTGTTAACATGTGGAGGTATGCTGCATTTACATTCCTTTTTGTTGGAATTATTGAGATCCTACGTTTTTAATTCTTACAGTATGAAGTTAGAGACAACGTAATCCTATATTTACAATTTTTTTTTTCCTCTCATGAAGTCTTCTGTACGTTTTGGGGATCCCTGGGCAAGTTAAATGCTCTCTCATAGTGTGTTCTACATTATGTAGGGATCCCTGGTCCAGTTATATGTTACACTACTTTTCACACTGAAGAGACATTTAATGTGGTTTTTGCAGGAAGAATATAGACATGCAAAGTGTCCTCAAATATTGTTAAGCAATTATTTATTTATCGAGTTTATATAGCGCCAAAGGGTTTGCTCAGCGCTGTACAATAGAGGGGGGGACAATACATGAAACAGAACAGTAACATCAAACAGTACACAAGGGGTAAGAGGGCCCTACTCTTTCGAGCTTACAATCTAGGAGGGAAGGGGTAGAGGCACAGGAGGAAACGGCTGTGGGGGATGGAGTGGTAGGAGGAGGGAAGGGCAGCGGCTATTAGGTGAGGGTGGGGTAGGCTTCCCTGAAGAGGTGGGTTTTCAGGGAGCGCCTGAAGGTGAGGAGGGAAGGTGACAGTCTGATGGATTGGGGTAGTGAGTTCCAGAGGATGGGGATCATGCATTTGCAGAATTTGACATGCTAAAAAATATTGACATAAATTTGACATTTCCTAAATGTTAAGAACTAGTTCAGTCGCAAAACTGGAGTCCCAGTCAGGACATTCCTTGCATGGAGTTTGCATGTTCTCTGTGCTTATGTGAGTTTCCTTCCACTCTCTAAAGATATGCTGGTAGGTTCATTGACTTCCTGTCTTAAGTTGCCCTATTATGATATTCTACTGACAGTGCCCAAGATGGCTGCCACATCATCTTCCCCAAGAACATGTGTTTTCAGTCCCCAGGAAGAAAAGCTCAATAGAAATATAAATGAATTGAATTAAACATTTCATTTTTGCTTCCCAGATATCCCAGAAAACATTTGACTTGTTAGGTTGTCATCCAAGTCAGGTGAAGACAATTTTAGAGTTTAAAGTGGCTCAGAAGGTTTAGTACCTAGAATCTCAGAATGCATTAAGGTAAAAAACCACCTGGGTGCAGCCCACCCCCCCCCTTTATACATACCTGACCCCAATCTCGATCCAGCTTTGTGTATGAGAGCCATGGTTCTCCTGAGTCTCTCTCTCCTCATTGGCTCTCAGAGCACTGGATGCCATTGGATTCTGCTGCTGTCAATCACAGCCAGTGAGCCAATGAGGAGAGGGGGCTGAACCACGCTCTGTGAATGTAATGTCAATTCACAGGAGGACAGCTCGGGAACAAGCATGCTGGAGTGCCCTCATAGCAAGAGGCATGCTATTGGGGGCACTTGACAGGGGAGAGGAGCCAAGACTGGCAGCAGGGGATGCAAAAAAAGAAAGACAAATAGAGGATCAGGGCTGCTCTGTGCAATTGTTCCCAATATACATTTATTTTTAATTTATTGCAACCTTTTAGAATCACTTTAATTACTGAACAGTGAATCCAAAGGTTTTTTGCAAAATAACCTTCTCTTAGGAAGATGAATGAAAACCTAACAATAAAGATGAATGACTGTTATTAAGCGAGGTATGGTTTGAAAAGATATCTAAACACATTCTGCTCATAATTTCCATTGTTATGAATGTCAAAGATCTGGAAGTTCTGCTGAAGTGAAGACAGTAGCTGCAAGACCACTATTTTCTCCTACAGAGCTGCTTATAAACTAGCTGTGGATGCAAATCCCTAGGTCGCTGCCACGGTTCTACAGAAAAGTTTTGATTTCAGAGAAGTAGTGATGTGCCGTGGACCTGTATAGTGTGGGAAAAAAAATGTTATGTGCGATATAAAATACAGTCAAGGTCTGAAGCATTCAACAACTCTCACATATGCACCAGAGGCATTTTGGAAACAAATTATATTATCTAATGAAACAAAAATTAAGTTATTTGGCTACAGTTTCCATAGTCACATTTTGAAGAAAAGAACACTTGTGAGGTTGAATCTATTATGCCTTGGGAATGTGTGGCCGCCAGGGGCACAGGAAATATTATGTAGGGAGAGGAAAGAATGGATTCTACTACATCATTGATGGCAGGGAAATTTACCCTTTCCTCTGCATAAATTGATCATGATTAGTCCTTGTAGCTTTTCAGCTTAGACACTTAGAGGCTCCAACTACTGACCGGTTTGTGACACCTTGAGTGAATGAAATTCAAAAAATCTGTATCTACAATTAGACTTCTTATAAGAAAATATCACATGTGTAATGCTTGCTACCCATCAAGCTAGTCCCATTGGCTAAAATATTAATGTCTCCAGAGTTGAACTTGTGATTTGACAGTCTAGCAGGAAAAGTCCACCTGACAATTATGAATAAGGCCTGGTTCACATCGACACTGAAGCCCTGTAACACAAGTGGGCTGTTTTTCTCAGCATCTTTAGTCTGTAGGTGTTGCGTGCAGGCAGCCCATTGAAGCCTGTTAGGATGCAGCAGCTGCACGGATACTGCCACTTGTCCTAATGTGACAGTTGTACAGATGAGCATGCTTGAACACAGACCGTGTGTGTTTGGGCCGCTCACCTGCACCCACTTGGGTGTCCATTAGGACAAGCAGCTGTGTCCACACCTGAAGGCTAGAGACGTGGGAAAATGCAGCCTATTCAAAGTATACAGGCCTCAGCACCCTGTGGGTTGACACATATCTGCTGCACTTGTAAGATCTACCAAATTTCTCTCTTGTGGCAGTCAGGTATAACAAAATTGAATCATGTCTAAGTTAATGGAGCTATGCTGTCTTTCCACAACTATAAAAATATTTTGAAATTCCTCGGGTGTCTTTTTTTTTCAGATATTTAAAGTGATTTTGCAGTTCTGATTTTAGGACCTTGATACCCTCATGTCAACATTTCTACTTATAGGCATACTGTAATCAGAGACCTAGCGAAATAGCCATAGCTAATTATTCTTATCTTATGCGTTGTAAGGTCAACACCACAATTCTAGCCCTGGAGTAAAGAAAATCCAGTGTTCCCTAACTAGAGGAAAAGTAATCACTTTTCCCCTCCTAGGTTCTCCAGCTATTAATGACTGTTAACATTACATAATTCACCAATGATACTTTAAACCCTGTTCACATTTTTAAAAATGACAGAGAATATTTTTTGGCAATCCAGTCTTGTGTCCTGATACCCACAAATTCTGACTAGATGTCAAAGTGTTTCCTTTGGGTTTGCTAGCCCAGCTATAACTCATGACTGTCTGCCTATTTGGTCATTAGGGGAATGGATAGTCACCAGATTTATAAGGATTTTCTTAAAGAAAACATTTACCCTTACCAGAAAGATAATCTATGTTAGAATGAATTAATTTCATCGCTTAACCACTTGCCCTCCAGACGATTTACCCCCTTTTCTTACAACACCGTTTTCTGCAATACGGCGCTGCGTTATTTTAACTGACAATTGCATGGTCATGCAACACTACATAATTTAAATTTATGTCCTTTTTTTTCTCCACAAATAGAGCTTTCTTTTGGTGATATATGGTGGTAACATATCCAGTAAAAAAATCAAACTTATTCATAAATTTAGGCCAAAATGTATTCTGCTACATGTCTTTGCTATGAAAAAAATCCCAATACATGCAAATTATTTGGTTTACGTGTGAATGTTATAATTATTTGGTTTACGTGTGAATGTTATAGCGTCTACAATTGGCGGTATATATACTGGAAATTTTTTAAGTTTTTTACACACACACTAGCAATGGCGGCAATCAGCGACTTATAGCGGGACTGCGGCGAGCACTCTGACACTGGGTGAGAACTGACACTGCGCTCCCAATGACACGAATACAATGATCAGTGCTAATAAAAAGCACTGACACTGTACTAATGACACTGGGCAGGAAGAGGTTAACATCTGGAGCAATCAAAGCGTTAACTTTTTGCTGTTTTACATTGTGCTGTGTGTGTTTTGCTAGGGAGACATGCTGCTTTCTATTTTATTACAGAAAAATAGAAAGCAGCATGTCTTTGCTGGCAGGAGTGAGACCTGTGCTGTTTACACATGTCTCTCCCCTATCAGCTTTCCCTGACATATGAAGCCACCAATGGCAGCGCAGGTAGGGTGGTGCACTCGCGCCCCCTACCAGGAGATGCAAATCACGTCTGTAGCAGTGGTTCTACTATGGGGGGGGAAGTGGTTAAACAATTTCTGGAAAGTCGTATAAATTATTGGACAGCTTAGTGGCACTAAGTTAGCACTTCTGCTTTGCAGCATTGAGGTACCCAGTTTGAATCCCAGTCAGGATGCTGTCTACATGCAGTTTGCCTGTTTCTCTGTGCATTTCCTCCAGATACTCCAGTTTTCCTCCCACACTCCGAAGACAGGCGAGTAGGTTTATCGTCCGGTCTTTGGTCCCCAGTGTCGGCATGTTAACTGGGCAGCCGACTGCTTACGGCGTCAAAGCTGGCTGCCCGCTGTGTATGCGTGTGTTACGCTGCACTTTGTGAATGGTCCCATAGCCTTCTGGGACCTGTGATGTGTCCCAGAAGACGCAGGGAGGGGGGAGGAGGAGGAAAAGTGGAACTTCCCGTTTTGGGTGAAGTTCCACTTTAATAAAGTTTTGGAAAGTCAAGTGGAAATGGGCAAAGCACTTTAACCTCCCTGGCAGTATTCCCGAGTGTAGCTCGGGGTAAAGTTTTCAGCACCACAAGCGGTAACCCCTGAGCTACACTCGGGAATACCATGCAGCGCTGCTCCGGGATCTCTTCTGCACTTACCTTGTTCTGCGCTCCTGCAATGTCCTCCTGCAATGTCCTCCAGCAGATGCCGCATCTGTCTTCTGGTTTCCTTTCCCTGCGACATCGGGACGTACGGGGACGGAACTGGCGGGAAATTTGAAAGTTGTAAAAGTGAAATTCAATAAAATCACATAGTAAAACATTACTGTATCAAACCATTTCACATACATTTTGTCCCGAGTGCTTTGTCCTGTGCCCTGCCTGCATTTTTACTGTTCTTTCTGCCTGGAAACTGAGAAATGTCCATTGCGTCCAAAAAAGCGTCCCTTTAGGTCAAAAGTGGTTTTAGACCAGCTAGAGAACAGCGATAGTAAATCAGAACCACTTGCAGAATTGAGTGATGATTTGTGGGGAAATTCGTCATCAGACACTGAAAACGATTTTGCGACTTTGCTCAGTGATGTGTGAACTTGGCGCTATATTTCAAATTTCAATGTTTTTGGTTTGATTATATTATTGAATTAAATTTATTATTATATTATTTTTTATGATTATTTATTAAATTATAATTTATGATTTCATGTTTCAAATTTTAACATACCTGGGATGTTTACTAGACTCTTGTTCGGACAGATTTCAGTGAGTTATTCCTAAAAATTACAGCCTGCAATAAAAAAAAATACCGTATTTTTCGCACCATAAGACGCACTTTTTTCCCCCCCAAAAAGGGGGGAAAATGTCAGTGCGTCTTATGGAGCGAATATAAAGCGGTCGGTCCGGTATTTTTGCGGCCACCATGTCAGAATACCGGGCCGGCCGCTCAGCTGTTGTCTCCTGCAGGGCCTTACCTGTTCCTCGCTCCAGCGCTGCACAGTCTTCCCGCGCTGGCTTCTGTGACAGCCGGGTGCCCACTGCGCATGTGCTGCGCTTTGTGAATGATCCGGTGTCTTCTGGGACACATGAAAGGTCCCAGAAGGCGCCGGGCCATTCACAAAGCGAAGCGCTTCTCGCACCTGCGCAGTGGGCACCCGGCTGTCACAGAAGCCGGCCCGGGAAGAAGAGGGAAGGCAACTCCGCGGAAGTGGGAGCGGGTACCTGTCAAATTCAGGTACCCGCTCCCCCTCCCTCCCCAAAGGTCAGCAGTCTCTGGTTATCCCCTTCACTGTCTGCAGTCTCTGGTCATTCCCTGCACTGTCCGCAGTCTCTGGTCATTCCCTGCACTGTCTGCAGTCTCTGGTCATTCCCTGCACTGTCCGCAGTCTCTGGTCATTCCCTGCACTGTCTGCAGTCTCTGGTCATCCCCTGCACTGTCTGCAGTCTCTGGTCATCCCCTGTACTGTCTGCAGTCTCTGGTCATCCCCTGTACTGGCTGCAGTCTCTGGTCATTCCCCTGTACTGTCTGCAGTCTCTGGTCATCCCCTGTACTGTCTGCAGTCTCTGGTCATCCCCTGCACTACTGTCTGCAGTCTCTGGTCATTCCCTGCACTGTCTGCAGTCTCTGGTCATTCCCTGCACTGTCTGCAGTCTCTGGTCATTCCCTGCACTGTCCGCAGTCTCTGGTCATTCCCTGCACTGTCCGCAGTCTCTGGTCATTCCCTGCACTGTCCGCAGTCTCTGGTCATCCCTGTGCTGTCCGCAGTCTCTGGTCATCTGCACTGTCCGCAGTCTCTGGTCATTCCCCTGCACTGTGTCCGCAGTCTCTGGTCATCTCCTGCACTGTGTCCGCAGTCTCTGGTCATCTCCTGTACTGTCTGCAGTCTCTGGTCATCTCCTGTACTATGTCTGCAGTCTCTGGTCATCCCCTGTACCGTGTCCGCAGTCTCTGGTCATCTCCTGTACTTTGTCCGCAGTCTCTGGTCATCTCCTGTACTTTGTCCGCAGTCTCTGGTCATCTCCTGTACTTTGTCCGCAGTCTCTGGTCATCTCCTGTACTGTGTCCGCAGTCTCTGGTCATCTCCTGTACTGTGTCCACAGTCTCTGGTCATCCCCTGTACTGTGTCTGCAGTCCATTGGTTCAGAATATTTTTTTTTCTTGTTTTTCACCTCTAAAACCTAGGTGCGTCTTATGGTCAGGTGCGTCTTATGGTCAGGTGCGTCTTATGGAGCGAAAAATACGGTACATATTTCCATGCAAAAAAATGTACTGCTTTGAACACAGAAATATGGACATAATCAGGCCGCTAGGGAGGCTACCTCAGGCAGACATTTATTTATTTGATTAATCTCATCAGTAATAAAGTGACATATGCTTGCTATAGAGTGTCTATTTTTGCACTGATGTTTTAAAGTACTCCACAGTAATGTTAACTTTAACCATTTGATCTCTGTTTTTCAAAGAGCCTCCAACCTGCTCACCGGAACAGTTCACCTGTGCCACTGGTGACATTGACTGCATTCCCTTGTCTTGGCGATGTGATGGCTTTTCCGAATGTGAGGATAAGAGTGATGAAGAGAACTGTCCATTGTGTTCTCCCAAACAGTTCCAATGTGAAAATGGGCAATGTATTGATTCCCGGAAGAAGTGTAATGGAGAGTATGACTGTCAAGACAAGTCTGATGAACAGGACTGTGAATGTAAGGAGATGCTTTCCCTTTCAGCACCCATTAATAGTCTGCATTTCTTAGCATTTCATAAGGGCCTATTCACACTATTACACACGTGTGTAATGTTCAGACCAGAATACAGTGTTTCATTGCATTCCAGAGCTGTGCCTAATTATACAACATGTGTGCACAGTTTTGCACCACTCTGGATGGCGTGACATGAATGAAGTGTCACATTGTACACTTTAAATAAAGTTCATTGGAAAAAAAATGGGGGGGGGGAACTGTGTGTGCCGTAAAATGTGCATCACACTGCTTCCTGCTGTATGGCTCTGCAGCCCAGAATTCTATATGGGCAGCAGCGTTTTGAACTGCGGTCTTGTGTAAATGGGCCCTTACACAAAATTACCATAGTGATTAGTTTGGTTCATGTGTACTAATAAGTGAAGTACATGAGAAAATTGGACGAAACAATTTTCCACGAAGGTGCATGTATTACAAAGCTTGCACTGTTAAGTGGGGTACACACTATGAGGAAATTAGATGAACAGTCGTCTGATTTTCCACGAAAGGTACATATGATATAACCGACAATGATATTTACTTCTACGAAAATTCTCCGACAAAGTGAAATGTTCGTTCTTGTGTATGATTTCTATGTTGCCACCTTCTTCCGGGTCTTTGATTCTGATCATGTGCGGCTTTTTCAATTCAAATATTTCAGTACGATTACTGTATACATTGAGCGAAAATTTTGCGTTGTGTTCACTTGCAATAAAAAATTTCTAGCTTGCACCTTCGGGTTTTTTTTTCGTACAAACAGTTGGAATCAGCTGCCAAAAGCACTATACTAATGATTAGATAATCGACCGATCGTTCCTTGTTACAGAATATTTCTTCCGATTTTCTTATAGTGTGTACCCAGTTTTACTCTGTGGTCTCCAGCAAATCCGCATGTATATTATTGTTGCCTTTCTTAGGGCCGGTTCAAAGTGAAAGGTGTGCATTCATTTAAATGGGCTGTCAAATGCACTGGAACATGCAAAAGGTAGTGCAAGCCCTACATTTTTAGATTTCACCACACCAAACTATATGGTACTGCCATATCATGCGGTTTGGTGGCCAGAAACGCAGCAATGCAATTGGCGTACTATTAACAATTAATGGCACCAGCACACCTCTTGCAATGGCAACGTATTCACATGCGGTGCAGGAAACACGCATTGTATGTGCCTTTCGAACACTACGTTCCAGTGAGAACCAGCTCTTACTGTACCTATTAATTTATTTTTATTTTACAGTAATCTCAGATGTATCATGTAACAATATTCATGAAGTATGTGAACAAGCAAATGTTGCTCATTTAAACATTGCACAGACACAGAAATGAAGATCTGAGTTTAATTATAAGGGGTGGATGCAATGGTGGTTAAGTGGGCAACACCTGGTAAGGTTTCAGTCTAGTAAGCAATACAGATTTTAGATTTGCTTAGGAGGAGATAGGGTCGGGGTACTGTTGGCTAGGATTGCTAATGGGGGGGTGCATGTATATTGAGCAGAGGGGATAAGAGATGAGGAGGGGGGTGATGTTCTCTGCAGGTTCAGCAACAGTGAGAAGGAGGGTGCTTCTGGATCTTTGGAATTGCAGCCATTATTGTCTCAAATGGTTCCTATGGATAAGCAGGGAAGGGCTAGCCCATTAAGAGCTGAGTTTGAGATCTGTGACATCTATTTTAGATGGGGGTCTGTGAAGTAAAGCCAGGACAGCCAGGTCAACCTGAATTTATAGCCTGTGTTTTTAATGGTAAAAGTC